TTTGCTGTGTCCCAAAGAGTCTGGTATGTTGTGTTTTCATTCTTGTTTGATTCAAGGAATTTTTTAATTTCATTTTTTTTATTTCTATTACCCAGTGATTTTCAAGGAGGGTGTCAAGTCAAGGGACTTCTTGAATGGTTATATTATCATCTTTCATCGTATCAGGGAAGAAATCTTTGACACTTTTCTCTGTGGTTTTAGTTATCTCTTCCTTTTCTGGAATTCTGATTACACATAGGTTATTCCTTTTGATGGTATCCTACATGAACCTTAGGATTTCTTCATTTTGTTTTGATCTTTTTTCTGATTGATCCCTTTCCAAAAAAGTATTAAGGTATTTGTCTTCAATCTAATTCTGTCTTCCATTGATTCAGTTCTACTCCTTCACCTGTTCAATATGTTATCTATTTCTGAAAATTTAGTATTAATCTTTTAGATTTCTATCTTGGATTTTATATCATTTCTAATTTTTCATTTGTTTTGTCATTTTATTCTTGTATTGTCTTCCAAAATTGTCTAGGGTTTTTCTGTGTTTTCCTTAATTTTGTCAGTGTTTTCCATGATCTGTCTCTCAATCCTTTGAAGGTACCTAAATATAATTCTTTTGAATTCCTTATCAGGGAGTTCCAATGCTGCTTCTTCCTCAGGAATGTGTTCTGGGTCTGTATCCTAGTCCCTTGTTTTTCCTGCTTTGTCTTGCTTCTTTGTGTGGACTCTGATGCTCAGTTGTCTCCAAGACATTGTGACATTTTTGTGTTTGTATTTAATTGATGATTGTATGTTGGAGTGATTCATCCAAGATTTTCATTTTCTTTGTTTTGTTTGGGTGTTGTCTGAGTAAGTAGGGTACTGTGCTCCTCTAGTCACTAGATGGTAGCAGTTATGCACTCACTGCCTTTCTCTTTTCCTGTTGTCAGCCTTCCATATGTCTGTGCTGTCCTTGGCAAGTGGAGCCTATTCTTAGGTCACTGAATCTGAATGATAATGTTGTCACTTTAAATATCCATAATGGCCACCACTTGTAAACATTAAAATGGCTGTGGTTGCCAGACAGCCAAAAGTTCAAATCTCAGTTTGTCTCCTTCTTTGCTGGTTCCCTTTTTAGTCATTAGCCAGCAGCGCAGTTGTCCCTGCAGCCCTTGGCAAGCAGGGCTGATTTTTAGATTATTTCTCAGGTCCTAACACTACTTGGAAATATTCAGGCTCTCTGTGCTATCAGGATAGCTGACAGTCCTCAGCTCCGTTTGTGTCCTTATTCAGTGTTTTCATTCAGGTTCTTCTACCAGTTGGTGTTTAATCCACTTCTGTATCCTTCCTTTGAAAGCTCAGGGCTCCAGGATTATCTTCTGTATCTGTGTCGTTTGGTTTCTCTTTTCTTTATTGAAGAGGGTCTGTGTAGTTTGTCTGCCTATTCTGTCATCTTACTGAAGTCCCCTCCAACCTACGTTTTAAAAGTGTCCACAACAGTTTTGTTATTAGAAAATCAAAGAATGCAATTTTTCACTTCAGGAGATTAAAAGGAGAATTGTACCGTGATTGTATCAGTAAAAGTATTTCAAAATATGCAACATTCATTCATGATTAAAAACTCTTAGAAAATTATCAATAAATAGGAACTATCTAAACCTTCTAAAAGGAAGAAATGAAGGTACATAAAAAGTAGAAAATAGAAGAAAATTCTAATATTTTCATAATATTATGTCTACGTTGTCGTTGTTGTGCTAGTTGCTATTGAGTTGATTCTGACTCATGACCACCCCGTGAGTGTAGAATAGAATTGTTCCATAGTGTTTTCAAGATTGTGACCACTAGAAGTAGACTGCTAGGTAATTATTCTGAGATGGCTGTGGGTGGATTTGAACCACCTACCTTTCAGCTAGTAGTTGAGCACTTAGTAGTTTACCACACCTAGAAACTTTGTCTACATAAACTCCAGACCAAACCCACTGCCATCGAATCTATTCTGACTCAAAGCAACCATATAGGACAGAGTAGAGCTGCCACATGGGGTTTCCAAGGCTGTAAATCTTTACAGAAGCAGACTGCCTCATCTTTCTTCCGCAGAGTAGCTGGTGGGTTCAAACAGCTGACCTTTTGGTTTGCAGCTCAATGCTTTAGCCACAGCTCCACCAGACTCCTGTATCTACATTACACCCCAGAATACTAAGTTTGTGGATGCATTGTTGTTGTTAGGTGCCATCAGGTTGGCCCCAACCCCTAGTGGTCCTGTATGTAGCAGAACGGAACCCTTCCCAGTCCTGTGCCATCCTCACCATCCTTGCTGTGCTTGAGCCCGTCGTTGCAGCCACTGTGCCAATCCATTTCATTGAGGGTCTTCTGCCTTTTCACTGACCATCAGCTTTGCTAAGCATGATGTCCTTAAAGCATTTGGCTGCTAACCAGACAGTCTTAGAAACCTTAAAGGGCTATTCTCTTCTGTACTGTAGGGCTGCTATACGGTCTCTATGAGTCAGAATTGACTTGATGGCAGTGGGTTTGGTTTTGGCTTTTCTTGATGTTTGGGCCATGCTTACTTATTTCTTTGCATGACTTGTAATTTTTGGTTGAAAACTGGACATTTTATGTACTAGAATATGACAGTCCTGGAAAGCAGGTTTTCCCTCCTCCTTAGGGTATGTTTTTGTTGTTGTAATTTTTGTTGTCTGTCATTTTTAGTGATTTTTGAGGACTCCTTTTGCAAATTTTGTATTTTTGCTGTGGGTAGACACGTCTCTACTCAACTGAATTGTCAACCTATGGTTTGAGAGAGATTTTCTTAAATGCCTGGAGCCAATAAATCTTCCAGTCTTTGTTGAGAGGTTCTTTGTGAATGTTGGAACATGCCTTCAACACTCAGCCAGGAAGTTTACAGCTGTGCTAGCCTTCATTACCTGCTGGAGCAGAGCACAAGGTTATCCAGAGGTGAGAATTCAGGGCCTTCTTGGGTCTCTTCTGAGCATGTGCACATTCCTCAGTTTGCAAAAACCTTGTAGTTGCACGTAGCTTTCTAGATTCTCGAGAATATATAGGAGCTTTTCAAAGCCTATTTGGACATCTCATTCCTCAGCTTTTCTTTTTAGCTTTTGGATAGTCTATTGTTTGCCCCAACTGTCACCCCTCATCTCACACAGCTGTGACATTAAAACACTTTCCTGTAAATATTTTTGACAAACTTCCTCCCTCCCACTCAGGAGAAGCTTTTAGCACTGAATAAACTCAAGGCAGATCAAATGAAAATAAGCCTTTCAAGTGAAGTCTTTCAGACAGTGACTAAACAGGTCAAATAATTAAAATTCTGTGGAAATGAGGTTTTGAAAGAGCTCCAGTTCTATTTTCCTCTTTTCAGTACTAGGAATGGAGACTAGCAATGGGTACTAGGAATGGGGACTAAGTGCTCAACTTCTGTTTTCCTCTTTTCAGTACTGGGAATGCTTGAGCTTGTCGTTGTAGCCACTGTGTCAGTCCAGCTCATTGAAGGTCTTCCTCTTCTTTGCTGACCCTCCACTTTACCAAGCATGATGTCCTATGTGGATATAATGATATATCATGGATATCATGAGAGAGCCTAACTAGGGAGAGTTAAAACATTACAAAACTCATTGTGTTGCTGTTTTTAAGCCAAAATTCACCTATTTTTCTTGAATAAAAGCTCCCTGATCACTTCAAATCTTTGGTTAATTTTCTGAGTTCTGAAAAAGTTATTTCTGACAACTTTTGTTAGCTTTTTTATTGTTCTTATAGAAGAGAGAGTGTTAAGAGTTCTTTACTCTGTGTATCACTGACATCTCCCAGTGAAGCTACATTTTTTTTTTTTTTTTTTTATATTAGACTATATAGTAGCCATTATTTGGGGGCATATAGTTTTGGATACGAGCCTAGAAAAAATAATGCAAGATTGTTTTACCTTAAAGCTGCTTTTTCAATGAATGAGAGACAGCTAAAGACAAAAAACAGTAACAAAAGAAACTCAGTGCTGTAGAATCGATTCAACTCATAGCAACCCCTTTTGGATTCAGGGAGCTCTGGTAGCATAGTGCCTAAAGCACTTGACTGCTAACCAGAAGGCTGGTGGTTCAAACCCACCAGCCACTCCTCGGAAGGAAGGTTGGGCAATCCTACTTCCGTAGTGATACTGCCTCGGAAACCCAAGGAGGGGTCGCTATGAGTCGGGGCCGACTCGATGGCAAATAACAACAACAACAACAACATCTCTATGGAAATAGATTGCCCAGTCTTCTTTCCACAGAGTGGCTGGTGTGTTTGAACCACCAGCCTTCTGATTAGATGTCTTAGACACTATGCCACCAGAGCTCCCATAGCTACAGAGATGTCTGAATTTAGGGCTAGGTAAACTTTAATGGAGAGTTTTTGTTTTTCTTTGTGGAATTTCCTGCACATGATTAATTTTTCATAAATGACTTGGCATTTAACATGGAACAAAATCTAGCAAGGCAAGTGCTTGCTAACTCAGGTCCTCGACTCCCTAACTGTTGAGACGAGGGAACAGAGAAGTGCAGTGTTTGTCTCTGGGCCTCTGCTCTGTCCAGAGCTGTCTAGGAAGTAGATTTTCATTCCAGAGACCCTAAAGCCTTGGACTTTGGGGATTATAGTTTCCACTTCAGAAAATAACAGAATTTTAGGTTTAATACCAGATGTGACTTTGGAACAGTCTGCAGTCAGGGATGTTCTGAATTACATAGCATCTCCTGTTCATCCTCAGCCATTTCTCTTCCTGGATTTATAGGGTAATCGGTAGGTTTGTAATGGTGAAACATGTGGCCAAGACCTTTTCTACTGATTTATTCTGTAAGATAAATTTTAGGCTGCTAGGATCAGATTGCTAATGTCTTTTGGTAATGCAGTTGTTCATCGTCCTTTTATTTTCGGAGGATAGTTACTGATATAGGTCACATTTCTTGGTTACCACAGGTGTGACATTACTGGGAACATAATTTTGTGGAGAGATGTTAATTCAGTATTATTATTCTTATTTTCCTCAGTGAACCTCAGTCAGTGTGTTATATTGCAACATCTAACCTGGATGGAGAAACAAATCTAAAAATACGGCAGGTAAAGATACCTTCTTATTTCTGATTTTACACCTGAACCCATTATGTCAAGTTTTGTCAAATACCAGTTGTTGTTTTTTTCCTAGCAAAGAAGTTTCTCTAATCACCATTGCATGGACATATTTTATCTTCATCAGATATTTAGTGGGTATTTTTTTTATTATTAAGGAGCTCTCGTGGTGTAGTGTTTAAGGCATTTGGCTGCTAACCAAAAGGTCAGTGGTTTGAACCCACCAGCTGCTCTGTGGGAGAAAGATGGGGTATTTTGCTTCCATAGAGATTATTTATTTATTTATTTTATTGTGATTTGGGTGAAAATTTACAGAGCAAATTCACTTTCCGTACAGCAGTTCACATACACTTTGTCTCATGACATTGACCACAATTCACCACAAAGCAAAGCTTCCCTCCCACTTCTTCCTGATAGTTTTACCTCTTCCTTGTGTCCTTCCCTCCATGCACTCCTACCCCCTGGGCTGCCTCCCTGTGCATAAACAGCCCTTCTTTCTCCCGTGCTTCTTCTCTCCAAGGAATGTATCTGCTTCTGGTAAATGTTCAACTCCTATACCTGTCTTTCGTTTGTCTGGAAGCCACAGGTGTGGGTGCAATTCCAGACCTGAAGGGCAGCTAGGGGCCATAGTCTCAGTGGTTCCACCAGGCTCTATCAGACCAGAAAACCTGGTCCTTTTTTTTTTCCAAATGATTTTGAGTTTTGTTCCACATTGTTCTCCCTCTGTATCCAGGATCTCCTACATAGATCCCCCTCTAAGTGATTGACAGTGTTAGCCAGGCGCCAGCTAGTTCTTCTGGTCTCATAGTCATACAGGCTGAGGATCGCATGGTGTACCGGTCATGAGGACTAATTGTTTCCACGAATCTTTGGTTTTCTTCATTCTTCTTTGCTCTGGAGGAGGACAGACCCATTGTTGCATCTAGATGACGCTTGCAAGCTTTTAAGATCCCAGTTGCTACTCACCAAAGTAGGAGGGGGAACAATGTTTTGTGTAGTATGTTGTGCCAATTGAGCTTGATGTCCCCTGTGACTATGATCCCCAGCCCACAGGTTCAACTACTCGGTTCCTCTGGGTAGCTGGCTGTGACCAAGAAGTGACTACAACCTTGTCCCTTGTCAGCTCTACTATACACCTAGGAATTTAGATCTGCAGTGTAGTAAATTACCTGATATGGCTTTACTAGCCATAAGTCTTTGTAAACTCCATGGTGGAATTTACCATGAGCAACTGATTAGCTCCTGATTGTTAAAGTTATCCACCTGGGGTATTTCTGTTGAGTGGCACAAAGCAATGTTCTGGGAAGTTCAGTCTCTCTCAGGTGTTTATTCTGGTGTTATGATTGGTTAGTTTGGCCACTCTGCCAGGTTCAAAAGGAGGCCTCCTAGAGGCAGAAGAAGTCTCTCTGACTGCTAGCTAACAAAGACATACTGCTGAGAGAAATGTGCTCCTGAGAGATATGTGCTGCTGAGAGATGCCAAGAGACATGCATTGCTGAGAGAGAGAGAGACACCAAGAGACACGAATTACTGAGAGAAAGACTAAAAGAGACTGTTGGCTGAGAGACAGCGGGCTGAGAGAGACTGAGTGTTGTTCCTGAACTAGAAATGTAGCCTGGTGCTTCCCTAATAAACCTCATAATCTGTGAATTCTGTGTAGCCACTGCAGTGAATTATCAAACCCAGCAGAGAGGTGGTGGGTGCTGCAGGAGGAACAGTTGGTGTCAGGGTTGGTGAAAGGGCTGGAGGGAGGTGGCATGTATGGCCTTGCAGGAATAGGCCTTGGGCTACTGATGGTGATTCTGTGTTCCCCTTGTGGGGTTAGAGGAGGTCAGAAGTTGTGGCCTCCCTGCCCCTTTGGCAAGATCATACAGATACACTTACAGGGCCATTGTCTGCCAATCCTATGCATGGTCTTGGGTACACTCCCTGCTTCATAGATATACCTAATAGTTCAGCCTGTCCACCCATCTGTCCACCCGTATACTCATGTTTGCCTTCACTTACAATGCAGTACTGTATGTGCAGAAGGGTTCATCTTTATTGTCTGTACCTCTCTATGTCTTCCTCTTCCTCAGTGCCACCATGTTAATCACTCAGCTTTGGTACATTGCCCTTCTCTTCACCCAAATCAGTACTTATCTCTAGCTATCTAACAGTGTTCCTTCCCCACCCCTCCCAATCTGGTAACCAACAAAGAAAATTTCCTTCCATAGTTAAACCTTTCCTTGACTTGTACAATAACAGACTAATACAATATTTGTCCTTCTGTGATTGACTTATTTCACTCAGCATAATGTCCTCCAAGTTCATCCACGTTATGTGCTGTTTTTCAGATTCTAGGTTATTCGTTAGGGTTGCATAGTATTCCATTGTGTGTATGTACCAAAGTTTGATTATCCATTCTTCAGTTGATGGTCATCTAGGTTGTTTCCATCTTTTGGCTATTGTAAATAGTGCTGCTATGAACATGGGTGTGCATGTCTGTTCTTGTACTGGCTCTCACTTCTTTAGGATATATACCTAGTAAAGGAATGGCTGGGCCAAATGGTATTTCTAATTCCAACTTTTGAAGGAGTTGCCATACTGCTTTCCACATGGTTGTACCATTTTACAGTCCCACCAGCAGTGTATGAGAGTCCCAATCTCTCTACAACCTCGCCAGCATTTGTTATTTTCTGTCTTGTTGAACTTTGCTACTAGTGCTCGAGCAAGATGGTATCTCATTGTTGTTTTCATTTGCATCTCTCTAATAGCTAATGATCGTGAGCATTTCTTCATGTGTTTGTTGGATGCCTGAATATCCTCCTTGGTGAAGTGTCTATTCATGTCTTCTGCCCATTTTTAAATTGGATTATTTGTCTTTTTGTTATTGAGGTGTTAGAGTTTTCTATAAATTCTAGTGATAAGTCCCTTGTCAGATATGTCATTACCAAATATTTTTTCCCAATCTGTAGGTTCTCTTTTGCTTCCATAGAGATTTACAGTCTTAGAAACCCAGTGGGGTTCACTATGAGTTGGAGTCGAGTCATTGGCGGTCTTGATCTTTGAGTCAGAATCAACTTGATGGCAGTGGGTTTGAGTTTGGGGTTTAATGGAACAATAGATGTTGATCTTTAAGAAAACTGATTTTCTGCTTTATTTGTTTTGGTAAAGAAGTCCCTGATTTTACCTTTGACCATGGGGGGTGGGGATTACCCAATAAGCAAAGTAAGCATGGGCTTACTTGTGCTTACTTAATAGTCTGTAGTAAACGTTTCATGTTAAGGAGCTCTGACAGTTCAATGGTTAAAGCCCTAAGCTCCTAACCAGAAGACCAAGGTTTGAACCCACCAGCTGCTCTGCAGGAGAAGGATGTGGCAGTCTGCTTCTGTGAAAGATTTACAGCCTTGGAAACCCTATGAGGCACTTCTACTTTGTCCTACAGGGTTTCTGTGAGTTGGAATTGACTCGCTGGCAGTGGCTTTCTGCATTTTTATTCTTCTTATTATAAGGGAGAGCGTCACTATTGCTATGAAAATTATTCCTGTAAAACTCAGGTTGAACAGGCTGTCATACATTTATGCATATTGTTTTGAGGCTGTGTCTGTTAGTATTTTAATGATGAAACTACTGTTGTGGGATTATAATCACCTCCATGGTGGACTCTGCTGTGAGAGGTTAATCATTGGAAAGGGAGCTGCCTTTGGAGTGTGGCCTGCTTCCAGTATATAAGGAGGAGCTTTGGGCGTGGTCTCTAGCTTTTCGGCACATCCGCATTTGACTGAGTCTTCATCTCCAGTTCCTGGACTTGAACCAGTGGCCTGCTGTGTTGCCTGCTGATCTTGGGGTTGTTCCTGGACTTGGACCAATGGCCGCCACATTGTCTGCCAGTCTTGGGATTTGCTATTTTACCTGGTTACCTTGGATTCATCAGCCTCAGCAGCCTGCAGCTGCATGAGTTAGAAAACACCTCCAGCTCCAGTGGACCTGGAATAAGAGGTAGAGCTGAAGCCTGAGGTCAAGCGGCCTTCACCCAGGCCCTGGAACCAGTACTCTGAAGGAAGACTGGGTGGTCTACTTCCGTAAAGATTTACTGCCTCGGAAACCCAAAGGGTGGTCGCTGCGAGTCGGAATCAACTCAATGGCAGTGATTTTTTTTAACTGTAAGAGCATAAATTCCTGTTTGTGAAGCCCTCCACTTGTAGTTTTTCTGTTATAGCAGCACTAGAGAATGAAGACTGCATCAGAAGCATTGACGTGTCCTGGGAGCTTGTTAGAACTAGAGAATTCCAGGCCCATCTCAGACCTGCTGAATCAAAACCTGCATCTTAACAAGGTCTTCCGGTGCTTTGTATGTACACTAAATCTGAGCAGCGCTTTTGGACACCAGAGGGGTTTTACGTACTGACTGCCTCGGTTCTGCCTGATGTGGGATGGAGCCCTTCGGGAGCTTCTGTTGTGTCAGGGCTGAGGATGCTGATGCGGATTGTTGCTCACCAGCCCTGGGGGTTTGAAGGCGGAGTGAGCAGGGTTAAAGGCTCACCTGGTCACTCCCAACCGGTATTACACAGTGATGCTCCCTTTGGCTTGATCTTGCTAGCCAGTGCTTACAGCACATCTGTACAAAACTAAAAACCGAACGGGATCTTTGCTTTGGTTTCCCTTACTGTGCTTTGGTTTGTTTGTTGATCTCATCTAATCCTCTCTCTCTTTTCTAGAAATTCTTCAAAATTTATGGTCTGCTGGTGGTATTCTTTCTTGTTTCATGTTTGGTTATTGCAAGATTGCAAACACCTCATGACACACACCCAAGCATAGATTTTAGATTTGCATATGCTTCCTGATTTTTAAAGTGGTAGACTTCACATTTTATTAAATAATTTAATGAATATTTTGTTGTCGTTGTTGTTGTTTGGTGTCATTGAGTTGATTCTTGACTCATAGTGACCCTACATGACAAGGTACAACTGCCCCATAGGGTTTTCTGGGCTGTAATCCTTAGGGAAGCAGATCACTTGGTCTTTCTACCGTGGAGCCACGAGATGGGTTTGAACCACCAGTCTTCTGGTTAACAGTTGCGCACTTAACCATTATGCCACCAGAATTCCTTAATGAACCCATTGCCATCAAGGTGATTCTGACTCATGGAGACTCTATGTGACAGAGTAGAACTGCCCCATAGGATTTCCAAGGTTGAGAATCTTTACAGAAGTGTGCCACATCTTTCTTCTGGAGTGGCTGGGGGCCTGAACTGTCCGTCTTTCAGTACGCAGCTGTTCTGGTTACCTCTGTGCTGCTCTAACAGAAAATACCACAAATGGGATGACTTTAACAAACAGGAGTTTATTCTTAAAATTTGAAGGCTTTAAGTCCAAATTCAAAGTGCCAGGGCTGGGGGCAGTTGTACCCCTCTAGGGGCTGGGTGAAAGCCCCTCAACCTTGCAGTCCAGCTCTGCCTCCTCCTCCGGGCCCACTGGAGCTAGAGGCTATTCTTCCCTCAGATAGCTGCTGGCTGCTGAGGCTGACAAGCCAAAGGTTAACAAGTAAAAAGGCACAGTCCCGATGTTACCAAACCACATGGCAGGCCATTCATTCAAGTCCATTGAAAGTCCCAAGGTCAGTGGAGCATAGAGGCTGCTGAACAAAGACATGGCTATGTGCAGGGTTCAAGCATGCTATAATCTGGAGACCATTCCCAAAGCTGTTTCTTATATACAGAAAGCAGACCACATACCCAAAGCAGCTACTCAGCTGCTCCAATAGATTCCATCATAGAGTTAATTACCAGTCTTATCATGGGGAATAACTACATCTGGCCACCCAGCCACTCAACCAGGCCTAGCCAAGTGACACACAGTCTTAACTACCACAGCAGCCAAGCACTTAACCACTGTGCCAGTAGGGCTCCATCAATGAATAGTTTGTTGTTGTTGTTATGTGCCATCAAGTCAGACCCAACTCATAGCGACCTCTCCTTGGGTTTCCGAGGTAGTATCACTACGGAAGTAGATTGCCCAACCTTCCTTCTGAGGAGTGGCTGGTGGGTTTGAACCACCAGCCTTCTGGTTAGCGCCAAGTACCTTAGGCACTACGCTGTCAGAGCTCCCATGAATAGTTTAGTAGTATCTAATTCAGCTATATACTTAAATGTTTCAAATATTATGTGGTGGTTGGTTATCACAATTATACTTTCAAAAATGATAGGTGAATATGCCCATGAATATATATATAGGTTTGCCCGATGGTATGCCTACGTAAGGAGCTCTGGTGGTGTAGGGGTTAAGGCATTTGTCTGTTCACCAGAAGGCTGATAGTTTGAACCCACCGGCTGCTCCATGGAAGAAAGATTAGGCAGTCTGTTTCCACAGAAATTTATAGCCTTGGATACCCAATGAGGATTGCTATGAGTTGGAATCGACTTGACAGCAATGAGTTTTAGTTTTAATTTTGAGTTTATTCCTGCATGTGTATTTGTATATGTTACAAAATGTTCATATGCAGTTTAAAGCTAACAGGAGGCAAAGTTAGGAAAACTTCTCAGTCACAAGTAAGCACCTTGAAGGGAGTGAGTCACTGAGCTTGGGGGCTTGGGACCGTGGTTGCAGGGACATCAAACTCAACTGGCACAACGTGGTATCAATAATATTGTTCTACATCTTACTTTGGTGAGTAGCAGCTGGGGTCTTAAAAGCTTGTGAGCAGCCTTCTAAGTGGCAACTATTGGTCTCTCCTCATCTGGATCAAAGAAGAATGAAGAAAATGAAAGACACATGGAAGCAGTTAGTCTAAAGGACTAATAGACCATGAGACCAGAAGAACTAGATGGTGCCCAGCTACCAATGCCAGTCACTCGGAAAGGGATCAGTGCAGGAGGTCCTCGATAGAATGGGAGAAAAATGTGGAACAAAATTCAAAATCATAAAAAAGACCAGGCTTACTGGTCCGATAGAGACTGGTGAGACCCCTGAGTCTATGGCCCTGAGTCACCCTTCAGGTCTGTAATTGAACTTACTCCCACGGCATAACTCTCAGCCAAACAGTAGACAGGCCTATGAGCCAAACCCCTACACTAGAGAGATGCACTCCCACTCACCCATGGGAGACCGGAGGGCAGCATTTACACAGTGAGAAAGGCAGGGAGGCAGCAGCGCATAAGCTAGAAGAACAAAAAATAAGATATTCTCAGCCAAGATTTAGAAAACTTAAGTTTCCTACCTCTTTCAACTTTATTAAAATCATTTTCCAAATTGCTGGTATGGCAGTATCTTGTGATACAATTTACATTAAAGTTGGATGTGTATTATTTTACTATTAAGTGTGGTGCTGTTGTAGACTCCAACTTTCATCTTCTTTTATTGACTGTGGGAGACATTGAACTTTGCCATAGTATGTTAAATGTTCATTTTCATCTTTCCCTTTGGTTTCATTTTATAGGCTTTGCCAGAAACAGCTAAAATGCAAAGGAAGAAACAATTATTGAGCCTATCCGGCAAAATAGAATGTGAAGGACCTAATAATCATATAAATCGCTTCGTTGGAACCTTGTGTCTCACGGGTAAAAGGTATCATCTCTCCCTTCTCCACCGTTTCTTTTTCTTTCATGGAACATAGAATGTGGTCCTTTTCACTCTCTCAATAGCATTTTAGAAGATTATAGTTGTTCACATTTTATGTGCGTATAAGAATGTAAATACCCTGAGCATCAGTGTAATTATTTTAAGAAATAATTAAAAGGTATGGCATGCTTCTAATCAGTATACCTGAAAATACTAGGCCTGGAGAAGTCATGTTCCTTTTGCATACACATTTAAAACATATCCCTTAGGGTAGATCAGTGGGAAGAGCAAAGTTCTAAAAGTGACGGAAGAACAAAAGCAACTAAGAATGTGATTTGATTATGATGGATATTTTCCCTTACCTCTGTTCTACTTCTGTGTAGTTATCACTTAAGATTTAATGAGCAACACAATGCACTGCCGTCTAGTTGGATCTGACTCACAGAGACCCCTCCTTGGGTTTCCAAGGTGGTATTGCTAAGGAAGTAGATTGCCCAACCTTCCTTCTGAGGAGTGGCTGGTGGGTTTGAACCGCCAGCCTTCTGGTTAGCAGTCAAGTGCCTTAGGCACCACACTACCAGAGCATTTGTGAAATACTGAGTCAACCCAGGCCTGGAGGAAGGACACCAAGTGAATATGGCAGCCGGGCTGGCTTTGTGTGCTCTGAATGACCATGTGCAACCCCCCTTTTATAACTCCTGGGTGGTTAAAATTAATGCCCTCAGCTGCTGACTGAAAGGTAGGCACTTGAAGCCCACCCGGAGACACCTCAGAAGACAGCTTGGTGGTCTACTTCTGAAAAGCGTGTGAAGCATAGTTGTACTCAGACACCAAAGGGGCCCCGTGAATCCCAGCCAGATGGCAACCACTTCATGGATTATGAAATCAGCACACGAGTCCCCTTAATCTTCAACGTGCCCACTTACTGCCTCCTTGGCAAGTGGACTATGTCGTTCGTAAAATGAGCAGTAAATGCAAAGTGGCTGAGTAATTAAATTTCTAGGTCTTGAGTAGAGGAGCAGGGTTATATGCAGGGTTGTTGTTGTTATATCCCGTTGAGTTGGACCCGACTCATAGCGACCTCTCCTTGGGTTGCCGAGGCAGTATCACTACAGAGGTAGATTGCCCAACCTGCCTTCTGGGGAGTGGCTGGTGGGTTTGAACCGCCAGCCTTCTGGTTAGTAGTCAAATGCCTTAGGCACTATGCTACCAGAACTCCTATATGCGGGGTAACATGAGGTAATATGAGCTTGTGCAGGTTAACCCAAAAACAGTCCCAGTTTAATCATATTTGTCTTGGCGCAGTGCCTAAGGCATTTAACTGCCAACCAGAAGGTTAGCTGTTCAAATCCACCAGCTACTCTGTGGAAGGAAGACGTGGCAGTCTGTTTCTGTAAAGATTTATTGCTTCAGAAACCCACTGGGGGGTCGCTATGAGTTGGAATCAACTTGATGGCAGTGGGTTTGATTTTTTTTGTTTTTAACTCTCACAAACTGTCCCAGTTTGGTTGAAAAAATTTATAAATGCCTTGGATATAAGAGATGTTTCATCCTCTAACATTTTTAAAAAGCCTATTTATGGAATGGTGGGAAATGAGTGGGAAGGTGCATCTGCCCATACTCTTTTAGAGACAGGTGTTTTTATGGATAAGCATTTATTTTATTGCTGCTAGCAATAAAAAGTTGAGCTTGACAACAGGAAATATATGTAAGGTGAACATCTGTGCTTTCTTTTACTCTGTGCAAAGAGAAGACTCTTTGATAGTTAATAAATGCTTTGTTGTGTTTTTAGCCCTGTGCCAATTGGGCCTGACCAGGTCTTGCTGAGAGGTACACAACTTAGAAACACTCAGTGGATCTTTGGCATAGTTGTTTACACTGGATTTGAAACCAAATACATGCAGGTAAAACAGTCTGTGATAACAAATAGCACTGCTTCTAGATGTCTCTGTTTTTGTTTTTTTGTGACGTGAAAGAGTTTCGTATATGTCTCTTCAATTTAGAAGGCTCATTCTGTTTACTAACCTGAAATTTGAAGGAAGGTCCATATTTTGTCTCTAGTTTCAGATATTTCCCTGACTTTTAATAGCATTTCTCACCAGGCCTTTATTTCCTAAAATGTTATGATCCTGTATCTTTGGAAATGAATCAAAGTTTATTTTAACTTAGGCTTAACTAATTTACATAAGTTGGATAAGTTATCGTTAGAAATGGGTTATTTCTATAACCAGTGTTTATTGCTTTGCTTTCAATGATCAAAAAAATGTGTTTCTAGGTTAATAATACTGGTTTTACATAATATTTATATGGCTACTTTTACTCATGTATGGTAAAACTTTTTTTTTTTTTTTTGCCAAGCTAACTTTAGAAATTTTATGTAAGTTATGACTCTCATGTACCATTTCTCTCAGTTGTTAACTTTTCTAAGAGTTTTATGATTTTAGCTTTCCCATTTAGGATTTTGATCTGTTTTAAATTGGTGTTTGTATTCAGTTATTAACTTTTGAGAACCCCTGGGAACCCCTTGGGTCCCTGCTCTTGTGGAGAGAGTAGCCGAAGAAGAATTTAAACAGGTTAAACAGAGTTCCAATAAACTGTACTATGTCTTCTGTTACAACAAATACTGTAAAGTAGGAGTGTACACAGAGTGTTAATCTAAGAGTCAGGTGCGGTCTCTCCAAGAAAGTGATGTTTAAGCTGAAATTTGAAATATGCATTAGAGTTAGCAAGGCATAGAAAAGCAGGTGGGGAAAGACTACTCCATGCAGGAAATTTTCTGTGCAGAGGTGTGTGGTGGAAGAGCCTGCCCTCTGCCATCAAGTTGGTTCTAACCCACAGGGACTCTATAGGACAGAGTCGAACTACCCCAGAGGGTTTCCAGATCTTTATGGAGGTGGACTGCTCCCACGCTTTTTCCCATAGAGCAGCTGATAAGTTGGAACCACTGACCCTTTGGTTAGCAGTTGCATGCAGACCTCCTGTAGGGGGAAAGAGAGAGTGAATCTTTCTCCTAAGGAATGGAGAATTCAGAGAGTTACCATATTGAATGGGCAAGGAGAGGGAAAGAGGTGAAAGGGAATGCTGAAGAGAAAGATGGGTTGGGTTGAAGAGGGTTTTATAGGTCACGTGTAGCAGTGATGCTTAGCTGCTCAACAAGATCCATGCTCTGATCTTCTACCTTGACACTGTGACTCAATGCTGCCTCATGATGGAATTTTAAAAGAAATTTTTTATTGTGAATTGAGTGAAAGTTTACAGAGTGTATTTGTTTTCTACACAGCAGTTCATGCACATTTTGTTTTATGAAATTGACTGTAATTCCCCACAATGTAACAGCTCTCTTCCCACTTCCTCCCCATAGTTACCTCTTCCCTGTGTCCTTCCATCCTGTGCACTCCCGCCCCCTGAGCTGTCTCCCTGTGCAAACACTGCCCTTCTGTTCTCCCATGATTTAGCGCTCCGAGGAGTGTTATCTATCTGATGTAAATGTTCACCCCACATGCCTGTCTATTGTTAGCCTGGAAGCCACAGGAGTGAGTTCAGTTCCAGACCTGAAGGGTAACTAGGGGCCA